AAGGTGACATCACAGTTGCCCAGGAGATGCCCAGTTGAGGGCTCCTTTCATGCTCCCTACTGAAGCTAGAGTGAAGGACAGGAGCTCAATCCTGCTCCAGGACAGTACTTGGGTCTCGAATGCAAGCTTGCTCACCTCCATCCCAACATCCTAACCAAACGAGGTTTATTTGTTAAAAAAAATGTATCTACAGAACAATCTATTGCACTGAATTAGATTTTAAAAATATATGAAAACAAAACTTGATATGAAAAAGCATCTGCAACCTATGGCAGAAGTGGCAGAACTAGTGAAAGAAGAACTTAATGATGTTGTACAAAGGAGCTCTGTAGACAGTTCAGAATATTTTAGTGAATGGTGAAATACAAACCTGAGACACTTGTGAATTTCAAATGTGTATAGTAGTCCTTCACTTACAACCTCAGTTGGGACCAGAATTTCCATTATTAAGCGAGACAATTGTTAAATGAATCCTGCCCGATTTTTTTTGCCATGGTTGTAAAGTGAATCACTGCAGTTGTTAAATGAATCGCACAATCATTGACTAAATCTAGCTTCTCTCATTGACTTTGCTTGTGGTAAGCCAGCTGAGAAGTGGCAAACAGCAATCACATAACCTTATAAACGCATGCCAGTTGCAAAGTGTCTGAATTTGAAACACACAACCGTGGAGATGCTTGTGACAATCGTAAGTGTGAGAACTGGTTGTAACTTGTAAGTCACTTTTTTTCAGCGCTGTTATAACTTTGAACAGTCACTAAATGAAAGGTTGTAAGTTGAGGACCACCCGTGCTAGAACTGGAACTTGACTCATATATGCTTATGTCTGCATAATAACATTGGACAAACTTTTGGTAGCCAACAGTCATAGTTACAAAGAGGAGAGGACCACTATGTACTTTAATATCATGGGGGCTAAGCTCAGAGGTGGTATTCAGCAGGTTCTGACCAGTTCTGGAGAACCGGTAGCGGAAATTTTGAGTAGTTCAGAGAACCGGTGGTAACCTTCCTCCAGGAGTGGGGTGGGAATGAAGATTTTGCAGTATCCTTCCCCTGCCACGCCCACTAAGCTATGCCACGCCCACCAAGCCACGCTCACAGAACTGGTAGTAAAAAAAATTGAATCCCACCACTGGCTAAGCTGCTAGGGTTTTCAGATCTTAGAGTTTATACAATACAAGACACCTCATGTGTCTTCAGAGGAGCAGGAATCTGTGCTGTGATCAGAGGAATCCCCAGGCTGAAAAAAGAATCTGGGAGTTAGTTCTATGAGGACATGCCCCCATTTGTAGAAAATGTTCATTTGGAGAATGTGTCAATTCAGAAGCCTGAGCCTGCCTGGGTCAGTATGATAAAGATAAAGGAATCCCTGTTGATTTTACTCCGCTACTCGTTACCGACTCTAGGGGTTGGTGTTCATCTCCGTTTCAAGACCATTGAGCCAGTGCAGTCCAAAAATATTTCCACAGTCATGTAGCCAGCATGATGTCACAGAGTGCTGTTCCCGTCCCACCGAAGTGGTACCTATTTATCTACTCACATTTGCATGCTTTCGAACTGCTGGGTTGAGAGAAGCTGGGATGAGGGCTCACCCCGTCATGTGGCGCTCAGGTCTAGAACCTGGACTGCTGATATGAGACATACTCACCCCCAAATCCACAGAGTACCATCCAGTTACATTTAAGTATTTGTTCAGAGTCAAAATCAGGCTGTGTTATACAAGTCCAAAAGAGAAATCTAACTCTCCATGGGTCACAGAGACAGGAGCATAAAACAGCCCTGTGCAATGGGTTTTCTTCTGCTACGTTGCTTTTATTTTCAAAGTATACATGCATACACACCTAGAAATAGGCAGAGCAAAGGGAAATGGTGCATGAAAGGATGTGGTATGGAGTAAGATTTCTCCCACCTTGGTGGGTCTGAACCCAATCAGGCCACTATGGACCTTTCCTGTTTTATTTTCCTAAAGTATCAACCACAAGAAAAAGAACAGGAAGCCTGGAATTCAAACTAAAACAGCTGCTCCCAATAGCAGCTCTCAAACCAGCTTTAGATTCTTTTGACTGTCTGCCATTAGATCACCAAATAAGTCATTTACCAAGGCAAAGCAGCAGGCCCAGCCAGCTGGCTGTGGTTGTGCACATTAGGGCCTTCGTTTAATTATGCGAGTATAAGGCTGGCTGGGTGGATTATGGGCATCCATATCTATTAGTATGAAGACAGATGAACTAAGAAATTAGCTTTTGGATAAGACATTGAACTTAGTTGGTGGTCTTCTGCTAAGCTACTTTCGGTTTTTGCCTGCTCCATGAGGAGCTTTCTCATTGTTGCATCTTTCTGCCCTCTTTCATTTCCTGAAATAAACTATCTTCAGTTGCCAAAATTCCAACTCGGGATAGAATGACTGGATAATGCATCCAGGTGTAGTTTACTTTTTATACCGTCTAAAAACCAGTTGCCAACTTGTAAGCATTTCAAATAACAAAGCAACAGCCAGCTTCCTGCAGATTCAAATGTTCCCCAGTATGCACAGTACAACAGCATGACTAGGTTTAATGATTCTACAACAGTTAAGCATGGGGTGATGAATATGCCACGTTAGCCCAATTTCAAACAGTTGATTGCTACCAGCGTATCCATTTAATGCTTTAGTGGGCTTAAGATCCCATTTCTCAGTACAGGAGGCAACGATATCAGCAGATCTTCGTGTTAGTTTTGGTAGGGGTGGCAATCATATGTAAAATATATGTTCGGCTGTAGGGTAGACGGTTGCATAAAAAGAGAAGGGACCCAATGAACATCTGCAATGAGAGGCATTAAATGTTCCGACATTACAGAGGGATTCAGACATGCTGCTTTCATTGCCTTCTCTCCGATTCTATTATGGTAACAAATGAAAAAGTAAAGAAAAAGTCTAGCACTAAAGGACCAACACAATTTCAGAAATATTCTTGACATGTACAATGCAGAGCTGAGAAAATGGCCGGATCTGAATGATGAGCAGTTTTATACTAAGCCCTCACTCCATAAGCAGTGACTAGTCACAACACAGCAATTATTCAACACCACACAGGAGATTTTTCTCCAAACTTTTATCAACACGTCCTATAAGGTAGGAAGACAATGTGGTGCCCAGTATGGTGCCTAACCATACCTCCTTGGGTGCTCTCAGCCTCCCTAACCACTTGACTGTATTCTTTTGATGAAATATTAAAACATAAACAAACCCGACCATTAAACATGGATGGACTCTTTTAATTAGGAACAATTAAAGGCGAAACTGGCATGCCGCAAAATAAAACGCAAGCTTCTAGCATCAGTTACAACAGTGTTTCTCAACCTCCGCCGCTTTAAAATGTGTAGACTTCAACTCCCAGAATCCTCCAGTCAGCATGGGAGTTAGAGTGGGGAGGGGGATTCTGGGAGCTGAAGTTGAAGTCCGTGCATCTTAAAGCAGCGGAGGTTGAGAAACATTGATCTGCAAGGAAGCCTCTGGTTTGTCGGCAGGCCCTGCCAGTCAAGGGATTCCATTTCTGCCACGGCTCCTGTATACCTTACTCCCTGAAGTGAGATTGGCTCCCATCCTACTTCCCTTCCACAGGACCCTGAATTTCTGGCTCTGCCAGATAACCTCACATTGGAGGGTTTTGTTGAATTAAGGCAATCCCACCTACACACACACACACACACACACACACACACATACACACACACACACACACATTCTGTTCCCTGCCTCCCCATCTTTTAACAATATCTTGATTGGGATTTCTATTTGTACTCTTTTAAAGATATTTATTTCTTGGATTTTTAATGTTTTAATATTGGAAGCTGCACACAGTCGTTTGCTATGAGATGGGTGGCAAATAGATTAATAAGAAAATAAATAAAATCCTTTAACATGTGCTGGGTGGGTAGAACCCAAGACCCCAAGCTCTATTGTTAACCAGACAACATCAACATTGGTACCAATCTGCCTACCAGACATCACTCAATATCAGTCAGACTGATAAAGGGTTAATATTAGATTAGAGAGGGCTGTAAAGCACTGTGAAGCGGCATTTAAGTCTAATTGCTATTGCTATTGCTATTCAGAAATAAGTGCAAAATTGTCCCTTCAACCCATTATAGATGGACAGCACCATTTATTTTGGGGACAGAGCTCAGTCAGAACACTTTGGCTTAACATTGTGTCCTCTACCTTTCAATAGAGATGGTTTGCAAGTTATTTGCATTGCTGCCGTGCTGCTGGTGCAGTGGTAAGAATGCAGTATTGCAGGCTAACTCTGCTGACTGCCAGCAGTTCAATCCTGACTGGCTCAAGGCTGTCTTCCATCCTTCCGAGGTCATTAAAATGAGGACTCAGATTGTTGAGGGCAATATGCTGGCTCTGTAAACTGCTTAGAAAGGGCTGTACAGCACTGTGAAGCAATATATAAGTCTAAGTGTTATTGCTATTGCTGGCTTTCACTGGCCAATGGGACAGTGCCCACTTTATCAAAGTGCAGACCTCTGGTCTTGTTGCAACAGCAAATAAGAGACTCTACTGATTAATATCTAGCAGAAGCTCGCTGTAGCTTCCTTTTCACAACAAACGTATGACAAGCTATTCCAAGAATCACAAATGCTACCATGAATATAAGCTCTTCTAAGCTTTGTCTGGGTTCTTGTAACATAAAACAAGATAGTCGATGTAGCCATTATATGAAAATACAACTCTCCCTCTGTTTTTTCTTCTAGCAAGTCACAAATATCTTTCATCCTGTGTTCATGTTATAGTAATGAACCAAGAGAGTTTCTCTACTTTACGTGGCCTTGCATTTTACCAAATTTGATCAGTGATGTCTCCAAAACTTCAACCTCGATTCTTTCTTCATTTGCATTGCCTTTCCTGCAGTGTCTTATATTAATTCTTTTGAAGAAATTAACACATTAAGAGAATCCCATATGCTCCCTCTAGAATGCTCTTCACTGATGTCTTTTTGATTCTCTACGAAGTATTAAGAGAAAGTTATTGTCACCAGGTGACGGGAACCTCTTCCTTCCTGCTTTTTCTGTGCAGATGCAGCTAAGTTGCTGTTGTGTAAAAGCACTCTAAAATCACATTGTGAAGAATTGAGAATGATATCAGCTGGCTATCTTCTGGTTAATTTATCCCATTAGGTTAAAACTGTAAGGGAAAAATGAGATAGCAGTTGATCTAATATCAACAAGCATTTGAATTTGGGGGAAAAAAGATGGAAAGTAGGAAACGAGAACATTCCAGAACAACTAAAAATAATAGAATGGTAAAAAATCATTTAATAAATGTAAGACAGTGCACCAAGCTAAGAAACAACCAGCCTATTCTGAACGTTTGGATGGCAGTGTTGCCTCTGAGACTTCCCTAGAACCCAACACTTTTGTCAGAATGACAAACCAAGGGCCGCATCATTGCAACACAGGCTCTTATGTACTCTTATGTATCCCTTATTTCAGCAGTGGGATTCTACCTGTTCCACTACCGGTTTGGTGATTGTGCATGCACCTAATGCACTTGCACAGATTTTGTTAAGTTCGCCGTTGGAAAAAGGCTCGGGAGTCAGTGACCGTTTTCAGCTCTTTATTTGGTCCCGAGATCGACTCGGTGCGGCTAGGGCAGGCGGCAGCTTTTATAGAACTTGCCGGCCAAGCCGCGGCCAATGACACCGCTTTGAATCTCCCGCGATCGGTTTCTTCCAATCGCGGGGGATTCGCGGCGGGCCAATCAGTGCGGCTCGCTCGACCAATCGGGTCGCCGCGCGTCTTAGCCAATCAGAACGGTTATCTACAAGAATGCTAATGTACAATACAGAACAGACTTCCCCACACCAGCTGAGACCTGCAGCGCCAACCAGCTGAGAGGGTGAAGAAGAGAAAAACACAGGGGCAGGCAGAAGGGCTGGTCCTGCACTTTTCTCTTCTTTCTCCTCTCAGCTGGTTGTCAGAGGATTTATTTATTTTTTTACTACCGGTTGGGCTGAACGGGTCCAAACTGGTCGCTTACTACCACTGCCTTATGTACTCTCTCTCACACAAGGCCACAAGGTCTATGCAAAAGCTTGCAATGCTCACTTCACCCTCTGTCTCCTTGCCTCCACGTCATCTTTCCCTACCTTGTAAACTACAGCTCCTAAAATCAAAGTAAACCGTATGCTCAGCGGGCTTATTCTGAGCACAGATCTCACTGTCAGATGGTGCTCCATTCAAAATTCAAGAAAGAAAAACTTAGACTCTTTAGATTAGAGCAAAGAAATCTTTTACTGAAAATGAAGTGGTAGCATCAAATAGAATTCTGAATCTAAGAAATTAGGCGCGCAGACCGCATATACAAAGTGTTGGAAACGTTCCCACCCCTCATAGTCCAAATGAGTCTTCCAATTCAAAGTTGTGAATATGATCATGTGAGCATCTTCAGGTGGTGATGAGGCCTCTGTCCGTTGACTTTGACATATTTTGATAAAGATTTGCAGCTGCGCAGAGAAAAGAAAGCTAAGCGAGGAATAGAAACTTAAGAGTAGGAATTTATACTCCCCCCCACTCCTCATTTACACAACACAGGAATGTAACACCTCCAGCTCTCTTCCCAGACATATCCCCTCCCCCCGTTACTTATGGCAGCCAAAAGATGCAAAGCAGTAGAAAAGATCTTGAAGGCTGACACTCATACTCTTTCAAAACTCTACACCTGCCCAAGGCCAGATGTTTGCAAAGGTGATGGGTTTTGAAAGTGCCACTTTCTCTCTCGCTTTACCCCATACCTCCCCCGAGACCACTGAAGTCACAAGGTTTTAATCAGGGGTTTAGTACTGTTTCAAAACACGGCACCTCAGGAAACCCTTAGAATTATGAAAATGCTATTTTGAAATTGCGCTAAAACCAAGCTTGAAGCAACTGCTCCATGGACTTAAGGAGCTGGCAAATAGACGAGCCTTCTCCTGCTTTGTCACAAATAATAGGACAGGAGACCTGCTTCTACACCTGTCAGAACCTGCGGTTTCCTCAAACCAATGTTTATTTAGCAAGATATACAGGAGTTGCAAGTTTTGATATGCATCATTATGTAGGAGAAGTGGGTTAGTCCCCTCTTAAAACTCACTACCTCTTCCAAATGTTCCTTGTCCTGACCGGCAAATGGTTTCCCTTTGGCTGGTGATGTTGGGGGTAGACGGCGGTAAAGCTAGAAGGTTTAACCAACTACTTTGCTTAATACAACCTGCCTATCCAAATCAGGACTCCATTTGGGCCCCACCGCAAAAGGCTATAGATGCAGGATAGGGATCAGCAATGGGGAATAGCCAGTTTTCTATCAAATCAGGGAGAGCTGCATAGCACTTTAATTCAAAAGTGGGAAAAGATCCTTGCATTTTAGAAAAAAATGCCGCTGACGGAATGATTATACTCCATTCCCTTCCAATGCAAAGATGAGGTTTGGAAGAGAGAGTGAGTCTTAAGAGGGGACTAATCCACTCTCCTACATTGCAACACAGATCAAATCTTGCCTGCCTTCCTAATAGATATTGAACATGGTTGAGGAAATAGCAAGTTCTGACAGGTGCAGAAGAAAAGCTCCTGTTCTTGGTGTCAAAGCAGGAGAAGGCAGGTCTAACCGCCAACTCCCTAAGCCCGTTGAGCAGTTGCTTCAAGCATGGTTTTAGTGCCTTTCAAAACATGGCAGTTCTATGGCTCCAGGGCATTTCTCTAACCCTGATCTAACTTGCATTGATCTCCCTTTAAAGCAGCTTGGTACTCTCCAGATCTTTGGACTACAACTTTGACGTGTATTTAGCAAAATGCGTGGCATGGACCAATAGGAATCGCACTTCAAAATATCTAAAACATTGAAACATTTCGTTGCCATCGGGTTTCAGCACAGCATTTAGTCTGATAAATGCCCAAAGGGAGCTGGGTGGTGCCTGAACACTAAAACAAACAAGCAAGTATCAAACATTAAAGGAAGTTCAAACTTAGAGGTCATTCTCAATGTTTAAGGAAGCTAATGATTCAGATCAAGAAATTAAAAGCATGTCCATCACAACACGGATCTTTTCAATTATATTATAGTCGAGTTCTCTGAATCCCCCAAAAGCAAACAGGAACTAAACATCCTGCCACCTTGATTGCCACCTTGATCACTAACCAATGTTATTTGGGCCACTTTATTTGGGCCACATCACACCCTTTGAATCATATTCCAGTATTGTTCTTTGAGCAGAGTTTCTTTTAGCTCTGGAAATCAAATTGCAAAGCTTCCTTTTTCTTTTCTAAATTGCAATAGAAGAATTCTCTGAGGTTTGTGGGCAGGCCATGGCTGGTTTGAGGAAAGCTCATCTCACTCACTCCTACTTCTAGAACCTGGAGCTTTCCAACATATTTCACAGCCAACCTTATCAATGATCCCTAATTTAATCCTTCTAGTTTTCCTAATCTGTGCAAAAAAAAAAAAAAAAGAGGGGGGAACAGTTTGCATGAATAAAATGTACCCAATTGTTGTCTCATCATCACTGGGGTACAAGATAGCTATTATTCTATTAAAGTATTCCCCACGTCACCCTCCCATGAGAGGCTGTACAATGTAACCAACAATTCTGGTTGCCGTTAGTGAAAAATCCTCAGTTGGTGAATCCTGGCATCGTATCATCACCATAGCTTTTAGTGGGAATTTATATCTGGCAAGGATGATGTTTTAGCAGCCAAACAATTTTCCTGCTGCATCCCCAGTTCAGATTCTTTTGGGAGGGAAAGCTCTATGGAACAGAGGCAAATAGAATTCTATTACTCCAGGGGGTGGGGATTCAACTAAATAGTAATTTTTGGCTTCTCCTATTGGTCAGTTGGAGAGAATGTTGGTGGTTCATCATGTTTCCTGCCTGGTTTTGGCATTCTAGAGAGAAGAAGAATGAAAGGAATTTCAGTGCTGACTTTAACATTTTTTAAGAGATTGGGGAATAGAAATGGGTCCATATGGAAGTGCTCTTGGTTAATCTTTGGATTTATATGTCTGAATCAACAAGTTTTAGCTCTAGATTCAATTGTATGGTCTTCCCATCATTTACTAGTATGGTAAGTCACCAACCACATGCCATTCATAATAGTATTTTTAGAGTAGTAAAAAAAATGGAGGGAAAAGAAAACCTCAGCCTGAAAAAGAGTAAAACATCCCACCAGATTTTACATACGTTCTCAGTGAATCAAGTCTGTGAACAGATTAAGCAAAAATCTTTACTGAAGTAGAGACTAAAGAAGAAGAAGAAGACGTATAAATGGATGAACTGCTGTTAAAAAGATTGTTGGAAGTAAAATCCACCTGGTTCAGTTCCAAGCTGGGAGAAAGATGCTGGAAATAACATGGAGGCTGATTGGAAAGAAAGGCTTTGTTTATCAATGAGCAGAACCAGCCTGTGGTCCTGGGGCAACTGACCAAATGGCTGAAGGAATGAATGGATCTTTATTGTTTCTATAACTCTGAAGTTTGGGATTTGTGCAACATTCTGAAAGGGTGTTGGGTAATTCTTACTTTGGCTGATGGCTATGTCCTGTGTTAGATTTTTGGGTGAGTGGCTGCTAACATTAAGCCTATCACTCTGGTTTTGTTAGCTGTCAAAATTGCTGTAAGGGCTTTTGAAATATCCTGTCTTGAATGGACTTCTTCCGGTGGTATTTGCTTTGCTTATGAATGGAGCCATCTAGATAGTTGGCTTCCTCTTTCAATAAGCTCATTATCTCCTTAAGCACCAGCATCTGCAGTTAGCTGCTTTTTACAGTGTTTTTTTTAGGTGTCTGGCTGGAATGTGGAATGGGCTTCAGGCAGTTTTTTTATTAGTATCTTGGGCTTTGGACTTTTCTGAGGCTTTTCCTTATGGTTAATATTCCTTATTTCTAAGGCTTTTCCTTATGGTTAATATTTTATTTGAGATAATATGGGTGGGGGTTGATTTCTTCTTACAAGAAAATGCAGGACCCCAAACAAATATATAAAACAGTCTGGCATGTATATAAATAATCATACTAACCTTGATGAGAAAGAAGTAGTCACAAAACAAAGGACTTTTGTGAATGTTGAAAATATCACACCTTGAAATAAACAGTGCAACATAGTTAAAAGAAACACTGCTGGGACCTACAACTTAGGAACGGTAGAATGAATGTCTGTCTCAATGGCTATTCACCAAGGACACCATGAGAACATTTTTAAAAAGGAGAGATTACATTTGTCTAACAAGCAGCGGCTATGTATTTATTACTCGATAACTTGAGATTATTTTGGATGATTTGGAGGAAGTATAATAGAACTATATTAAAAAAAAAAAATAACCATCTTCATTAAGATGAAATGCAAAAATTGCACAACTCTCCAGGAAATTAAATTCATTGTTTGCTTTATGCATTTGCTCTATGGATGCATCCATGTGCTCTTTTCTCTTTCTTTTGGTGAGAGCAATGGACTGAAAATCTTGAAATTTAAAATCTCCCCTCCCAGCTGTTTCCCCCCCCCCAAATTGATACGTTTAGCCTTTAGACACATTTAAAGACCCTGACCTTGTCATTTGGAAAGCTGACAGCTCCCGTTCAAAAGCCGAGAGCCACACACAATGGGGTGAGCTTCCCTTCCTTCCTCAGTTCCTGCCTATCTAGCAGTTTGAAAGATCCAAATGCAAGTAGATCAATAGGTACCACTTTGATGGGAAAGTAACAGCATTCCGTGCACCTTTGGCATATGGGCCACATGGTCATGGAAAATGTCTTCAGACCATGCTGACTCCCTCAGCCAAGAAACAGAGTACCTTGTACTACAGTTGAACACAACTGGACAGGGAAACCTTTACCTTTACATTTGTATTAGCAATAACTAAGAACTGAAACTGTGACACTTGCCCCATCAGATTTTGCAAAACAGAGTCGTATCCAACTCCTTAAAGCAGGGTAGGTAAAAGTAAAGGTTTTCTCCTGCCCTGTCGTGCCTCTAGGGGATGGTGTTCATCTCCATGTCTCAGCCAAGGGAGACAGTGTTGTCTGAAGACCTTTCCATGGTCATGTGGCCCCCCGTGACTATAGGCCGAGGCACATGGAACCCTAACCCCCATTACCTTCCCACTGAAGTGGTACTTATTTATCTACTCACATTTGCCTGCTTTTGAACTGCTAGGTCACAGGTGTCAAACTTGTGGCATCGCGTGATGTATCGTGATGCTTTTTCCCTTCACGGAGCTGGGGTGGGCGTGGCCTGCACGTGATGCATCTGGCTCGTGGGTCACCAGTTTGACACCCCTGTTCCAGGTGGTCAGGAGCTGGGGCAAGTAACTGGAGTTCACCCCATTGCACAGTGCTCAGGTCTCGTCTTTAACCACTGAGCCATTAACTGCTATAAGAAACCTTGATGCTTGGTGGCAACCAGTGGTGGGATTCAAAAAAAATAAATACCACTGGTTCTGTGGGCATGGCTTGGTGGGCAAGGCAGGGGAAGGATACTGTAAAATCCCCATTCCCTCCCCACCCCACTAACCTGCTTTCCAGCTCCCTTCTCCTGTGCAGGGCAACAAAGGAAGACCCAGCCAATCAGCTGGGACTCAGGAGGCAGAGAATAGATGGGGGCGGGGCCAGTCAGAGGTGGTATTTGCCAGTTCTCCAAACTACTCAAAATTTCTACTACCGGTTCTCCAGAACTGGTCAGAACCTGCTCAATACCACCTCTGGTGGAAACCTAAACATGGGGTGGAAAATGCTACCAGATTTTTGCAGTGTATCGTACAGCCAAAGGGTTATGCCAAACTCTAAATATCTCAGGATGACTTTGGACAACCTAAACAAGTTGATTTCTCTTGAATTCAATTCCTTACCCATACCCATACACACACTCAAACATGAACACTTTTTTTTTGTCCATTCCAGGAATGCAAACCTAACCACAGTCACTTTGTTCGGAAACGCGTACTCTAAATAAATCTGCTTAGAACAGCATCTCAAGAAACACAAGAGAGGTTTGTTTCTCTTAGCTTAAGCCATCCTCTTCACCAGAATATACATCAATGGGTCCATGAACCTTCCAGTTTCAAATGCTGATGTGACACTTCTATGGCAAATGTTGACACAGCAAGTTTGTTTTCCCTTGCTGTGCAGAAAGCACCAAGTGTCTTTTGCATTCATAAATCTTCTGCTGGATGCAAAAATAAAGGGATATCCACTTCCCATTCCAGCATCATGCTTAATCCTTGGAGTTCAATATTATATTATTTTCAAATACTCATCAGTACATTCCCTGGAAGAAGAAGAAGAAAAAATCTTACCCAGATGTGCATTATTTGTATTAATTTATTACACATAAAAGTAAGTCTTGAAAACTTGAAACTTAGACAGTCTACTATTGACCTCACCCGTTTCCTAAGAGGTCTGTAGGGGGTGTGCATAAGCGCACCAATGTGCCTACCGTCCCTGTCCTATTGTTTCTTTTTATTTTTCTTATATGTATCCATTTCATGTATTCATAACTATGTTTATACTTATACCTGTTCTTATAATCGCATAAATAAATAAACAAACAAACAAACAAACAAATAAACAAACAAATAAATAAATAAATAAATAAATAAATAAATATTGCAGAACTGAGCACTGTCTCCAGCTTCTTCATGCTCTTATTCAGGGGTTTCTCCTCCATTTTCTCTCCTTGTGAATTTCTACCACCACCATCCCAATCTGTTCAAATGTCCATAGGTATTATTACCGCTTCATGTTCCTTGGACTGAGATGTGCAGGTGGGTATTCTGTGGCCATTCAAGCCATGGCTAGTGGGATTTTATTTGGGGAAAAAAATAAGTTGTTATATATAATATAATAATCTCTAACATAGGTAGTCAAAAAAATGAAGGTGATGATTGCTGTGATAGATGGAGTAATTGGTCACTCTCTCCTCATTAGTAGCTACCATGTAATTAATCAGCCAAACCTTTTTGAATCCAGGGATGGGAGTTTATGGCCCTTTAGATATGGGAGGACTACAGAGCCCAACAGCTGCAGGTCACCTGCCCATGATAAGAGAAGCTGGAATCTATAGTTCAGCAACATTTTTCCATATACATTCAGGCATGTTTCAGGACATACTGGGGGGAGAGTAAATAAAGGTTTTCTTCAAATAAAAAATGAAGGTTTTTTTTTTTGATAGGCTGGCTCATAGACACTCATTTGCAAGCAGACAAATAACTGTCTGTATAGTGGCAGAAAAACGCAACGAATTAGACCCAGAAAAAGTTACAGCAAAGTCCCCAAAAAGTTATATTAAAGCCCTGCAGAAATCAATACAAATTTGCTTTGCTATGCCTAGCTTGCCCCATTCACTTCAATGGAACTAAAGAAGGGATTCAAAGAAGGGATTTATTGGGAGCAGGTTACAAACTCGATGATTGCAACCGCAACCATGGATACAGCATTCAGATGTTTCCCAGTCCGGTTCTGCTCACCCAATGTATTCCCTAACCATTCAGGGCCTTAATCTCGCCTCAAACTACACCCCAACCTTGTTGTCCACAGTCAGCTCCTTGCCAATCCTTTAGCCCAAGGGTCCTCAAACTTGACAGTGTTGGAAGTTAAAACCCACCCATCTCCTAGAAAATTGAAATATCCTAGGAAATATTAAAAAGGCAGAATATTTCCCCTAAAAAGAGTAGACACTCAGAAGCAGAAACTCACCTCAGAAGCAGAAACTCAGCCCCGCTTTGCTCATGGGCCATTACTCTGGCCTAGGCCAGCCTATTTTACATAACAAAGATCTCCAGGTAGAGCTATAGGAATTGCCCAAAGCCCTTTCATTATATCATCACCCAGCAAGGTTCATCCAAGCCTGGGACTCAGGACAGCCTACAGAGTTGCCCCTGCATGGACTCATGGGAGTCTGACAACCAATCAGAATATAAGGTCAAATTCAAATCCCAACAGAGGATATAAAACCCAAGCACTTTCAGCATCTCAGCCCTTCCTTCTTTGGAGCTCCAAGCCACGTGGTCCTGTCCACCATTAAACCATCTTTCCAAACAGCCTCCATGTTTCCAGTGTCATTTTCCCCACTTGGAACTGAACCCAGAAGGATAATTCTTCCAACAACACCTTTAAGACTTGTGGACTTCAACTCTCATAATTCCTCCTCCAGTCATGTTAGCGCAGGAATTCTGGGAGTTGAAGTCCACAAGTCTTAAAGACCCCTGCCTTAGCCATTGAAGCAACTTTGTAATATATGGCTACCTGTTCCAGGAAATATTAGGGGTAACCTGGCAAGTTACTTTTCTGAGGTCTCTGATAATAGAGAATGAAATAGAGAACTGGAAAGCCAAGCCAAGCAAACAAACTTATAACCGACACTTTAAAAACAAAACAGAGCAGGCCCACCTTCTACATCAATCTCTTGAAGAAAGAGGCTTTCTGATCTCTTCAGAAAAAGAGCCTTAGGCAAGCTTTAAAAACGAATCTCTCCCTCCTTGCTTCCTCTCTTTCCCTCCCTCTCCTTCTCTTTCTTTGAGGCTGGGTCCCCCTGGGATGGAAGTCTGCTGAGTGAACAATCTTGGTAAAGTCCACAGCATAATCCTGGGAAGTCACTTCTCCAACTGTCCCATTAGCTACGTAACCCTAGATTCCTTCCAACAGCAGGAGCCAAGGCTGTCAGCTCGCTAGCATTTGAAGAGATTGTTCAGGTCATTGTTTGTGCCAGCAGATTTCCCTTCCAAGATGACCTAACTGGGGAGAAAAGAACAACCGTTTGTCACTTGCTCAGTCGAGTGGCTTAGCTCAAAACCTCTAGCCTGGGGTAAGATATACAAAGACTATTCTCCCAGTGACAGGGACGGCTCTTATCTTTGGCAACGGCACCTCTTCTACCTCTGTTTCGGTCCACTTTGCTTCATTGCAAACTCCTTTTGAACATAGTTGGTGTGATTTAATGTTTAAAACAGGCTTTTGTTCTTTCACCCTTTTCAGAGATGAGAAATGGCACTTTGTGCAGGACAGACTTGCTTCTACCAAGAGGCTTCTTTGAATGGTTATTCTCGGTATACATTTTTCAAATGATGGTTATTGTAGTTCAGCCCAATGTGAACAGAGCGTATGGAGAGCCTGCCCCGATTTTCTATCTATCAAAGCCCAACAGAAAAGAACAAAACCTCCAGTGCCTGAAACAGGCAAGCAAAACTTACCTCCGAGTGGAGTTTGCCAGTAGCTGTGAGTGTCAAACTGCTGTAAATTTATCTTGTTCTAAAAACCAGCAGGAGCTGGCCCTAAGAGTTTCATAATTAGGAACAGCACCGAGTCCCTATTTTCCTCTGCTCCTTGCCAAGTAGGAAACTCTTCACTTGGTTAAGAACAGTAGAATGGCTAGAAATGTTTCTACTTTTTCCATTTCACTACTTTTTCTCTATCACCGATTGGACAGGGCTGCTTGATTTTTACATTGCCATGAGATCTATGTGATATTGAGTGACAACTAAAGGAGGGGGGAGGGGAGGGGAAGGGAGAGGAGAGGAGAGGAGAGGAGAGGAGAGGAGAGGAGAGGAGAGGAGAGGAGAGGAGAAGAGAAGAGAAGAGAAGAGAAGAGAAGAGAAGAGAAGAGAAGA